CTCTGTAATAAATAAACTAGTTTTTGAAATAAAATGCTGTTCAGTTCACAAAAGGTATGGAGGGGTAACTGGAATCTAAAAAAGGTTGAGAACCTCTGACATAGATGCTGAGGAAGGAGGCATTCAGAGCTACCTATGATCAGCAGCACTCAATACAGTAGAAAAAACATAGCATCTTCTATTTAAAGACAGGCAATGGGTTGTTGCTGTGCATGTGTGCACACAAGCATATGTGTGAATGGTGCTGGTGGTGCTGGTGCACATCTTTGCCCACTAGTCTAATGTTTAGACTAGAGCAAGGGTTGTTAACTGGGGGTCACATATCCCTGGGGGTATTTCAAAAGGCCCTAGGGGGTATGTGAGGGCAGGTGGGGACAGAGCGCTGCCATGCAGCATCCCGCACTGCTGCACAGGTGCTACCTGCCTGGCTGGATGCAGGGGACAGGGAAAGCTTGCACGCGGTGGCTGCTGCCACTCTGCATTTGGCTGTGCACCACCCCACTCCACCCCACTCCCCACTCTGCGTCCATCCATGTGTCGTCCCCCCCGCCCACTGTGATTTCCGTGTCCAGCCACATGCCACCCCACCCCCCACTATGTGTTCAGCTGCTGGGGCTACACTGATCCAAAAAGGTTGAAAACCACTGGACTAGGGTACTGACTTAGGAAGTGGAGACTTGTATTCTAGGTTCCTCCTTAGTCTGAGGAACTCAAAACCACAACTCCCAGAGCATTTTTATACATGCTGTGGGATGTGGCACTGGATGATTTAATTAGCAAGCCATGCTAATTAAAAGCACCCACGCATCACATGTATCAGTGTCCCCATGTGTCCCAGCACTGAAAAAATGATGGCAGGGCACTCTGAAATAAAATGTGTAATGAGCTTTAGTTCAAAGCACCTCACCACCATTTTTTTCAGTACAGAGACCACTGGGATACTGATACACATGACATGGAAGGCTGCTGGAGCATGTCAATTTCCATGCTCCAGCAGACTTGATTAATAGCAGACTGATGCTCTCGGTTTCCAGTGCGTCAGAGCAGGTTCCGTGTACGTGTATAGGAGCTCCCATTTATCAGAAATGATAACTGGGTAGACTAGGTAAGATCTCTTCTCTTGAAGCTGGGCTACTGAGCAGTCAAGAATGTACAACTTGTAGAGTCAGAAAGAGAGCAAGAAAGATGGAGTGTGACTTTGTAATTCATGGAAGTGCCCTCTTCACTGAGAGGGGAAGACTCCCGGTTCCAGGATTAGGGCTGCTAATGCAATTTAGGGCACAAACAACAGAAGTGACAATTTCATCCAATCTGGCTACAGCAAGAAGTTTATAGCCATGAAAACAACTTTTGGCTTTTGTTTTTTAGCTTGGAGACAACAAAGAAAGAAAGGATCCACTAAAAAATTAAACACTAGGCACATGCTTCCTTTAATCTGTGTTTTGGAGAGCCATTAAACAGCACATCCTGCCAACTCACTCTTATTTCACACACATCAAATCCCAAAAGGTAGGTAACAACTCTAGAGCTGCTCTTGGCACATGCACTCAGGGTCATACTACAGAACCCACCTATGCCCAATTTCTGGGAGCAGAGTAGAAAAAAGTGGACAGGGTATGCTTGCTGGTAATTTTTCACACTTTTGCTTTTTCTAGAATGCCATGCTTTTGCTAAAAAACAAAACAAAAAAACTTGAGCTCCTTGAAACAGTTAATTTCAGCCCCTGACAAATTTCACGGAAACAAGTAATGTTTTCCATTATGTCAAATCAACTCTATGTTTTGGGGAGAAGAAAAAGTAAGGAAAACTAGGGAAAGTGGTGGACCTTTTCTAACAATAATATATTTAGCTTCTTGTCAAATTAATTAACTCTGAAAATCCTTTAAGTTGTTACTTATTTTGAAGCATGGGGGACATATTTTATTTTATTTGTCAGTTATAGATACATTCCTAAAGACCCATCACTTTAGTATCTAGAAGGTATGAGAATCTAAATAATGTATATAAAAATTAATCAAAGAGTATAGTAAAACCCCCAGGTTTTTCTTTTTTCTTTTTTTTACTTAAAAATACATTCCCTCTCCTTTACCAACTGTTTCTGACTTTCTCTCTGCCCTCTCTATCCCTTATAAGTAGTTATAAGTAGTCATAGATAAGCTAAGTTCTTGTATTCCCTTATTATAACAAGCCCCTTTTTATACTGTAAATAGTGTTCTGTTATTTTTTTATTGATTTTTACTGTTTTATATGGATATTGTATGATTTAGGCCTGTTTCTGTAAATTAGCCAAAGTAATGTCAAGCCTCCATCTTGTCTTGTCAAGTCTCCATTTTGTGTCCCCTGCCCACAATTGTGTTGCAACTCTAACTCATACCTACCCCTCCCATGTAAATTGGTTCCTGGATGAATGAGAGTGAATGAGAATGCTTGAGGCATAATGGTAGCAGGCCTAAAAATAGCTCTTACTGAATGACCATACCACTGCCTTGCATTGACTCTCCCTGAAACCACAGACCTACTCCCAGGACCAGAGACAAAACCCAATATTTGAAAGATAAAGATCCTCCAAGAAACCAGCAACATGGAAACAAAGAACAGAATAGAAACCAGCAACTCCACCATTGTATCCCACTGGACAATGAGGACACCTGGAACCACATGACCTCATCTGAGCAGGACTGGCCCTTGCCTGGGCATGTCCTCCCCATTGGAGTCAAAGGTAGCCCACACCTATAAAAGGGGTGGTAGAGTGTGACCTCCTGGGGACACCCTCTCCATCTGGATCAGCATTATACCACGCCACCTATCCACCCAGAGGCCCTGCTGGCGGCCCCCTCTGGACAACACCTCACTGGAGAAGGCCCCAACTAGCGACTGAGGATCAACTGTCAGCCTGAGATATCACCTACCTCTTCCCTTCAAGCAAGGAACCTGAATTCTGTTTCTTCATACCTTGACTTCAATCCCTCTACCAAGCCTTTTGCCTCCTGCTACCAGTGTGTGAGTGTGCATGTGTGTGAGTGCACATGTGTATGAGTGCACCAATAAATTTGTGGGCTCTATAGTGTTGCCTGTCTAATAAAATTGATATTTTTGGATCCCTGAGTCAGTTTTTGTTTTACTGACCTCCTGGTTTCTCTGCTAGCTTCCTGCTCCCCTGGCTCATCACTGCTCCATCACCTCCACCTCTCCTGACCTCCCAACTTCTCTGCCAGCTTTCTGATCCCCCAGCTCACTGCTGCTCCACCACCTCCACCTCCCAGCTTTCAGCTTTCTTTCCCTGGCTCTTATCTGCCTCCATCTCCAGGCTCTATACCCTGACTTTCCCTGCCACCTCTCTGGCTTCTCTGCCAGCTCTTCCCCTACCCACCCCCCTCCCCAGCTTCCTACCTCTGCTGCCTCTGCTCTCTCAGCTCCACAGCCTGTTCTCCCAGTCCCATCTCCACCACCTCCTCTGCCTGGGGCCCCAAGTGCCCCCTAGTCACCAAGCACCCCAAGTGCCCCCTAGTGTTAACACACACAGCCACTGAAGTGTGTGTTTGTATATGTGTATGTGTGTGGACATATAGTGTCATATGTGCAGTTTGTGTGTGTATGTGTGTGTATATTTTGTGTCACACCCTCCCACCTAACAGCGGGACATTGAGATCCCGAGCGTTGATCTGGCACATGTCAAGTCAACAAGAGAATGGCATAGACACTAATTAATTAATTACAAACTACAGTTTTGCATACTACAAAACAAATTCTTAAGTAGTTTCACAGGCAAGATCCCCACAAAGTCTGTGGGGGCTTCCCTGAGTAACATAAGGGTAGAACCGTGTCCTGCCCTAATTGAAGTTGATGGCGAAAATCACATTTGAGTCAATGTACGAGTCCTCAAAGGGGGAAAGAGGGAAGGGTCAGCAGGGAAAGGGATCCTCCTGCTGCTTTCTGTTCTCTTGAGATTTATCGTCACTGCAAATTTAACTTGAGTTAAGGCTTTTTGTGACTGGATGAAGCTGGCTTTCTAGGCAACACTAAAATGTGGTGGTACTTTAAGGCTGGCTGGCTTTCCAGCTAAAACTTGAGTAAGTTCAAGTTTTCATCCAATAACAGAAGCGCTCTGCAATGAAGATACAAGCCTCCAGTGATTTCCCATAAATTCTCCCTGTGCCCCAAAACCCCTGGAGGTTATTCCACAATTTAGTGATAAAGAATCATAGAATTACTCAGAATATTGCTGCAGCACTGAGAATCATAGGATGTTCCCAGATATCTCAGCACCATGCAAGTAAGTATAGAGCAGTATATTCTTGGCAACTCAAGTAATACTTCAAAATGTGGACATTCTCAGTCAGAAAAACTGGGTAAATGTATAAGAATAACTAAACTATAATTACTTAACTCTGAAGTGACAATGTACCTATATGGACATCTATGATAACCAAGATAGTATGCAGTGTAAGAACAAATGCTACTTTAATATAATGCATTCAATTCAAACAGTGCTAAAAGTTGAGCTGTCTGAATATATATATATGGTTGTATATTTATTATAATGTATTTTATATTACTATATTATACACACACACGCATGTGCAAATAGTTCAATGGGAGTTTATTTTCAGACGACTATGAAAGACTAATGCTCTCAAAAACGAACAGAAGACAATCACTTCTTGATCTCAAATCGAACATGAATGCACCGTTTTTAGTATCAGCAAACTTACACACAGTCTTATCTCTATTCAACACTCTGTTTGTACTTTGCATAAAGTGACATTTGATAAAGAGATGGAAAATATTAGTCATAACACTTGTCCTCCCAGACAATACACACTAGATTTCAATAAAGTCAAATACTAGTACATTTCAGTTTATCATTAGGATGTCATGATAGTATCAGAATAAACAGCCTCTTCATTTGTGGTGCATAAAAGTTCAATAGAACATTTTTTCCCATAATAACCACTGACACTGTTTGCATATACAAGTATAAGAAAGGAAACAGACAATAGCACAAGTGTTAGTACAGCGAGAGAGCAGCAGGACACTGTGTTTTACAAGAAAAAGAAAACTTAAACCATGTAATTTGGAACTGTCCCTACAAAGGCCCTGCTAAATGAAACACACTCAAAGGCGGCAGCAACCCAAGAGCAGGTGCTGTAAGTATAAGATTTTGTATAACTCTTTTTAGAATTTAAACTGAAACTGTGTTCTTCAACATAAACAAGAAAGATAGTGGAATGTGCTTGGCTACTCTCACCCAAATGTACTTTTTCTTTCCCTTCCCATTTGTAAAGTTAGCTTTAAAAAAAGGCAATAGACCCACTCCCTAGCTATGTATAATGCACAGACCAATCTAACTAGATGTGTATTTGAAACATATGTCTGACATTTCCAGTATACAGAGATCACAGCAGCTCTGCAATAAGTAAAACATCAGAAAACTTACTAAGTGCAACCGACTAATACCTTATGATAAAAACTCTTTATGAAGGCTCCATTGTACAAATACAGTTAAGAACTGACCCAATTTTAAAAAAGCCCACTACAGGCATGCACCCTTAAAGATAAATATTTTGCAATTTCATGTGACAGTGTACCCATGGTTAAAATAAATAGCATATTAGTTTCGCTGAAAAAGGAAAAACCTTGGTTTTTGATTTGTCAAAATATTTTGAGAGCAGAAAAATATTTTCATATATGAGATTTAAAATGTAAAAGTTGTTCCAAACCTACACTGTTTGACAGATTACTCATGTTCTTTCCATCTCCGATAGTTCTAACTCTTCAGCTTATTTACTAATAAAAGGGTGATTAATCCTCTAAAACTATACTCCATTCATTCATATTGCTAACTAACTCAGCAATGCCCATGTGACCTGGCTTGTTTATTATGAAATCTGCAGGCAATATGAAATCCCACATGCTCAAATAATTTCTGAGGCCTACATGAAGCAAATTTTACAATAAAAAGGGAAAGATTGGGATAATTTTCACATATCATTTGAAAAATGAAAACAGTTCCATTGGGTTTAGACACCATCTTATTTTTCTGCTAGTCCAAGAAAAAAAAGTGTATACAGTACATACCTGTGTTGCATATAATATATCATGGAGGTAAGAGCTATGAGAAGGGAAAGGTGATTAAAATGAACTGTATAAGTACTAAATGATTTTATTATTATTATTATTATTAAATATTGTATTTCCATCATTGCATACATCCAAGCTAGACCATTTTATTAATCTTTGTCACCTTTAATTTTATGGTAGATGAATTGCAATGCTTTAAAAAGCATCAGAGAAAAAATCATAGTGTTTTCCAACTACTACTACTACATCAGTTGGTCTAATAAAAGATATCACATCTACTGAAAGAACCTTGCCTGCCAGTGTTTTATAGTTATTCTAATAAATTAGTTTTATGTTCAAAAAGTACCTGATAATAACTGAAAACCTGTAGGGTTTACTAAAAGAGTATAGTATTGTACTTGTGCAGAGAATGTAAATATTAGGTTCAAATTGATCACACATTTCTGTGACCTATTGAGTTGGGATAAGGAGCAAAGCATCACAGAGAACTGGCTATGGGCACCTTAACTTGTGAAATTATTTTTGAATCAGAAGCAAAATGTACAGATTTACACACACAAAACTGAGCTTCTTATATAATGATAATAAATATATAATAAATAATGAACACATCCTGCTAGCTTCAGACATGCAGTGCTTCTCAGGATTGGCCAGATCTCTTTCCATATGACTCCTACCCACCCAAATTTCTATGATATAAGATATGTGAACACAATAATAGGTATGATAAGAAATTGTCAACTAAAATTATAACCTGTGTGAAAGTTTTCAAAAAAGAGTGTATTAATTCAACAACAAGCAAGCAAGAAACCAGAAATAAAGTAAGATCCAGGGGGGAAAAATCTACAGAAAAGCTTTTAAACCAAGACACATCATAATGGACAATACTGGATGAAATGGTGGCATTCTGAGGTAAATCTAAGTTATACCTCTTAGTCTCAGAGAGGCTTCCTGCTATAGCTCTTGAATTATTAAGAGGTAGCCTTTCCAAGATACGTTTGAGGAATATGATGGCGTAGCATGGGGAAATCTATGTTGTAGATGTCCGTGTTGTATTGTCTGGACAAACGGTACCAATCAGGCCTAACAATTTTCTTGAGCACTAAGTTACTGTTAAGTGGTTAAAAATAGGAAAAAATATAAAAATACAAAAAAAATATGAATACATAAAAAAGGTAAGAGGATTCTCTACTGCATGCTGTCTTTTGGAGTTTAGACTGCATAAAATAGACTCCAAATACACTAAATCATAATGTTTCTACTTTACACACATGTAAATGACCACAGAAAATGCCAGGCAGGAGAGAACTAGCTTATTTAGTTCTTACATAATGGAAGGAATGTCTTGCTTATGTTCTGGATTTTCTGAAGTTAACTGCCATTAGTGGCAAGCAGAAGATATGGCAGGATGGCATCTAAGGCTGCCTCCTCACAAGTGGGAACGGAACATCTGTTTCCCCAGGGACAAGCAGCAGCCACACACCTTGTGTGGCTGGTACTTGTCCCTAGGAAACACCAGTGCCATGCACACTCTGTCTCAGGTGGGGCAGGGGAGGCTGGGGCCAGCACCTGTGCTAGCCCCAGTTGCCTTACCTGGGGCCCTATGGGCCTCAGAGAGCTACAGCCATGGCACTCCTGTAGCAGGTTGCCTGGCTGGCAGCCAGAGCATGGCTCCACCCGGCCAGGCTCTGGTTTTGGGCAGCATGTGCTGTCACCACATGTGCCACCCCGCTTTTTTTTGGTGTGGGTTTTTTGGACCCCGGTATCTCCTGGGGTCAAGATACACCCCTCCCCCCCCCACACACACACACACACACAATGCAAAGGAGCAGCGCGAGGAATGCCTACATGTGATGTGTGTGGTGCTGCAAATGGGTCTACAGTACTGCATGCCACACATGCCGCTCATCTGGATGCAGCTTTAGGGATTAACTGTTTAAGGAAAGCATAAGCTTTAATAAGCAATAACCTACCTTCACCAAATGGCAGCAGGTGTTAGTGACACATCTAGTGATACATGACACGTAACAAAAATGTTACTGCTATGAACCACTTGGGACAGGTTCCTGTCTGGTCTAACTATATATACCGGCATTGGTGATGCATAGTATGTTCACGTGCACCCCCTGAGATTGGTGGTGCACCCCCAGTGAAATGTGCCACCCCCCCTGCTGCCGACACCAACAGCGGCGTTTGCAGGTAGTCCCCAATTGCTGCTGGCCGCCACCAGCAGCACTCACCACCCCAACCCCTGCCACTGCCACTGCTGTGGCCACCTGCGGAAGCTCCCCTCTCACTACCACAACATCCCCACTGCTGACACCGCCACCACCGCCTGCAGGCAGTCGCCATACCTCCCCACCAGCCTCCGGGGGCATGCGTCATTCATGTATATAGTTCTGCTGATCTAGTAAATTACATCAGGAGTGGGATCTGGCCTCCATCTACAGTTGGTGCCAATGTTTGCATGGGTACAGTCTAACCTTGATGGAGGTTGACATAAGTTGCGCTAGAGCAATAAATAAATAAATAAATAAAGCTTACTTCAGTGACCCTTCTTTAAATGTGGGCTTGCACCATTGCAGCCATTTAATTTGCTAGCACCAGTGGCTGAATACAGGGCAATACCTAAATACAGAGAAAGATGCTGTAGAAAAAATTAGATTCAGATGAAACTATAGAATTCAGATAACATACTAAAAACATCATAGTCCTTTGCCTATTATCTATCTGATTATCAAAGGCTTCAGGAAGAACAGTACAGTCCTGCTTTCGTGTACTGCACATGTTTACTCAGCAAGCCCTAGGCCATGGTATTTGCCTTAAGCCTTTACCTCTAATTAAAAAATATTCTCCAGGAAGAGTAATACCGTCTCATTTTACAACAGAGTTTTCCACACAAAAAATCCACTGTAAGAAAACATATTTGTCATTGACTTATGATTTAAATGAGGTTCAACTATGTAGTCTACCTAGGCCACTGAAATATTTCTCACTGACTTTAATAAGCTATGATAAGGGCAAAATATCCTTATTCTTCTCAGATGTGTTAATTCTTCTCAACCAAAAAGAAAGGGAGACAAACTGAAAAAAAAAAAGGTCAAGGGGGATGTTAAATTTATGGACAGCATTGTGGGAAATTCAAATGAGGATTCAATTTTTCAAAAGTCATATTTGAGTCTGTGGAGTTGTGTCTTATTTTATAAAAAGGGGGATATTGTTAAAAACCTTATACCTCACCCTCCAAAAGAGACAACACAAAAATACATCTTCAAAACATTAAACTATTAGATTTTTTGTAAGTGAGCCCTTAGTAAGCATTTCACAAAGATCTTCCATAATCATTTAATTTTTAAAAATTATTTAATGCTCAAGAACTATGGTGCAATTCCACACTGAAATAGGGGGCATTTCATCTGGAACTTCCTGTATAACTTGCACCACTCCTCGCTTTTCATGTGTGTAGTGGTTTCATCCCAGTTTTAGACACCTGACTACTCTGAATACAAATACTGCTGAATTTAAATAATTAACAGCTTTAGAAACAATAATACTTCAAAAGGAAATGGGTTGTAAAGTTGCTGCAACAAGTCAATATTGAGACCATCTGGTTCCAAAACATGTATTTTCTTTATTTAGGAGAATGAGTCCAAATATTTGTTGGCTTTGTAAGTTATTCAGAGATGATGAAAATGGAATCACTTCGAAGTAAGTAGCTCTTTGATTTTATGTACAATTTAACAAAATAAGGGATTTACCTTTCTAACCAAGACTCACAACAGCTAAATTCATAATGAAAATTTGCCGGTTCATGCTTACTTTAAAAAAAAAAATAAAAAAAAACCCCAACACTCACTGTCACCTATGCTGCCCAGTGATCACCTGTTGTGTGTACTGTTGCTTAACAGTTGATCAGTGTTAAATGTTTTGGCATGTTGTTTATATTGTACATTTGTACCCCTATAGGAATTTTAAAAACTTATTTATTCAGGAGCAGGCTACTAGACCTCAGTTCTCCTAATTAGTTTTATCCTACTAAAGTTAATCGAGCTACATCTAGCATGAATTTGACATAGTGTTTTGATTCATAGGTTTTAAACTCAGCCACTGACACATGCAGAAAATACGTTAAAACAGAGTCCCGATTGTACAAGAAGCTTCCAATGAAGCACCAATTAATTTCTAAAGAGTCCTCCAATACCACTGACTTCAACGGAAGTTGAGAAGTTCAACCCTTCAGATCTGTCATTGCATACCAGGACTGGCCTAAAACTAATCGCATCAAAACTGTTTTTGACAGAAAATTGTGTTTTCAAATAAACATTTTTGTAAAACGGTATTTTCTGCAGAAAATATTGCCTTTTTGTTGAAAAGCTACACATAGACTTCAGTTTCTGAGTAAAGACAACAGAGTTTTTAGAAGTACCTTATAGGAGTTATATCTTGGGCGTCTCCCACTCCAGTTTACTCAGTTTCTCCAAACTATTTTTGATGATGTTCTGCAGCTAACAACTTCTATGCTCCAGTAGAATGGCTTAGCAAGAGGGAAGACCATTATACTTCGTGTAGATTGGGTCAAAGTATCCAGTCCAGAAGAGAAAGGAGAATAGGAACCAGAAGCAGATCTAGGATTTTACAAAAGGGGTTATGGGAGCAGCAGCCAACATTGAAGGGGTAGAGCACCTCCTGTCGCCAGACTCTTCCCACTATACACTGGGGCGTATAGACTATACCCTTGGAGCAGCAGGTAGGGCTGTAAGTCCCAAAGAAGGTAAGAATTCCTCTTGCCCTTTCCCTGCTATGCTCAGAGGCATATCCTTTTCCAATCCCCTACTCTCCCATTCCCAACACCCACCCCCCACCTGCCACTGCCACTATCCCTGATTCTCCAGAGGCAAGAGGAACTCTGTGGGTACTGACAGACGCACAGGCCCCTATTCTAATTCTTGCCATTTTACTTAAGAGTTAAAGCAGCCCCCTCGTCCAACAGATGTTCACCTGTTGGGTCAGGGGTGTGGAAGGGAGGAAATCAAGCTTCACTTTGGAGCCAATCGAGTGGACAAGCCTGCCTGCAGCCTCTCCCCACTAGCCCTGCCCCCCCTTTCCAGTTCCCATGCTGTCTGTAGGAAGGGAAAGGGAGTGAGCTGCAGGATGGAGTCTGCCTGTCCCGAGTTAGAGAAGGGTGCTGGGGGCTTGCGTGCAGGACAGGGGGGCACCAATCCATCTGTCCTGCCCCCTGCAGATCAGGCCAGATGAACCACAGCCTGCAGCTCACTCCCCCTCCCTTCTCCCCCCTCTTCCAGCAGACAGCACTGGGGTTGAGACCAGGCTGAATCAGCCCAGCCCTGATCATGCAATGGATTGACCCTAGGGAACAGAAGTTCCTTAAGGTACTCCAATGTAGAGTCCTTTCATTTGCTGCATGATTGGCCACATTTAAAATGCTCTGCAGTCATGCACGTGTCACAGCACAGCTGTACAGTGCTTTTGGGGGGCCAAATGTGTGACAACTGTAACTTCTGTCTGCACCTGCCCCAGCCTAGCTGCACAGGGGCCGGGCTGACCTCAGTTCAGCCCAGGACAGTGGCAGGAGCAGGCAGGCACGTTCCCCTTTCCTGCCTGGTCCTCCAGTGCTCCCTGACCACCCAGGAGCAGGCATGGGGACGAGGAGCCTGCTTATCTGCTACCTTCAGTACTGACTTGGTCTGAGCCCAGTCCACAATATACCCCAGGTGGAGCAGAATAGGAACTCCCCTCACCCTCGGGACAGTGGGGATAATGACAGTGGCAGGCAGGGAGGGGAAAGGAATGAGAGGCGAGGTGGTATGCCTCTGAGCATGGAGCAGAAATGATGGGGAAGGGATTATCTTCTTTAGGGACTTCACGTCCCCAGCAGCTGTTCCTGCTGTGTGGTCAGAAAGCGGGGGAGGGAGAGTGGGGTTCAGTTATGCCTCTGTACTTCCTTTGCATCCACCCCTGAAGGGAGCATAAGGCAACAGAACTACCACTCTCAAAAGCCATTCCAGTGGTGCAGAAACAATCTAAATACAAGAGATGGAGCAACCGGGTAGGAGGAGAAATAAGTCAAGTGATTTGCTAACAGTCACACATCTGGCGAGTGACAGAAATGAATACAGAAATCTGCTCTCCTATTCTTCTTCCCCCAGCATTATAAAGATTCTCAAACCAACATATCCTACTGAAA